AATAATAAAATATAAAATGATAAACGTAAGTTTATTGATCAAACATTATTAACTTCCCGTAGGGCAAGTTATAGTAATCGCAAAAAAATCGAAAATGAAAATTTTCATATGTCTTTACGTTTCAGAGGTTTCTGAATATTTTGGCATACCTTAGAAAAAATGGATGTATGTGTGTCGACAATTTCGGGAACACGGATGAAGCGATTTGAATAATTCAAAAAACATTCGATTCGTATTGATAAGGAGACGTGTTGATTAGTTTTTGGCAAAGGTAGGTCTAACCGTTTCGAAGATACGGGGCAAAAAGTGCCACAAACGGTAACTCAGTTTTTAAGAGAACGGAGTGTCAGATTTTATTAATTCACAAAACATTTTACTTGCATGGACAAGATCAACAACTGATTAAATTTTCATGAAGGCAGGACTAACGGTTTCGGAGATCTAGCAAAAAAAAATAAAAAAAAGCCGTTAGGCGGTCAAAAATGATAGTTAGACATATGCACATCAACTTATCAGATATTTTATGGAGATTAGAACAATAAGTATAAATTTTGTTTACATTCTTATGGGTTCCGTACCAATGTTTATCCGTTAGACGGCGGCGCGCCGCTTATGCGCTTCGATATTTCGAAGTCTCTATGCAGTTAAAGCAGTATGATGGCTTTGAAAAAAAGTTCAGAATTTCCAAAATATTTCAAAATAAATGTTTCTTCAAAAAAAGTAAATTTTTGTCAAAAATTTATAGTTTCTCAAAAATCTAATTTTTTTAGAGTAATTTTTTTTCAAAAATGTTAATTTAAAAAAAAAAAATGGTACGGGAAGTTCCTGCAATTTGCCTTAAGGCACGATGCCATGCGCCCTACTAGTTTCTATATTATTCGTAGTTTCTATAAATCTTTAAAGTTCTTAAAATGGAAAATACTGTTTAGGCAAGACAGATATTAAAGCTGTTCAAAGAACGAGATTATATCGCCAGCGAAAAAGCAAAAAAAAAATACAACTAGTCAATGAATGTATGTTAATTTTAATTAGTCGAAGTTCTTTAAACACAATTACATGATGAGTGAAGTTGCGAAAATAATATTTGTTTAGGCGTTCTTTAACATAATCCACTGTGGGAACGAATAATATAGAATTTATAAATCAGCAATTACTTCATTTCTCTAATGAAGGTTCGTTTCTAAATGCTAATTACAATGACAAACCGATCATGTCATATTTGATGTATGGCTTTAATTACATTATTGTTTCTAAATATTGTACATATCTTAATGCTATTATAAATGCATAATTTATAATTTATCATAATATAAATGTGTATAATGGTTGACACTAATAAATATGTGCATCACGAGTGTTACCATATTACTAATAAACATTATTCAAAATTGTTACATGATGTATTTATTTTTACTTAAATGCCATCTTGTACAGTTGCAAATAAGTTTTACTTCAATCGCGTGTGAACCTTACGCGCACTCTTTTTTTAACTTCCGGTAGGGTCAGTTATATTATTCGCACAAAAATCGAAAACGAAGGAGAAGTTTATGTTTTTATCAAAAAATTCAAATCGCTAAAATTTATGTTTTCTTGACGTTTCAAGCCCTTCTGAATCGAATGAGTGTGTGTGTATGTGAACAGATTTTTTGCCGTAAATCGACGTTTTCTCAAAACGGCTACCGAATTTAAAGATTTAAAAGCCATTCGATTTGTCTCGACGATCAGCCAAAACCTTTCTTTGTAACTAGCAAAAAAGTGAAAAAAAAACGTCCACGTTTTAGCCCGCAATTTTGAATCGATTTCAAAAATTCAAAAAACCGTTCGAAAGATATTGCTTGGGAATGGTGCTGATTCATTTTTGGTAAAGATCGGCCGGGCCGTTTTCTTGTATTAATGTGGTAATTTTTTTTTCGACGATTTTTATGATTTTTTTGACGGTAGATACCATAGTCTAATTATTTTATAGATCATATTAAAATATTTCGGCTCTACGACCGTTTTAAGTCGTTTAATTTAAAAAATCCGTCAAAGTTTGCAAATATTAGTATCGTTTTTTTTTGGCGTCAAAAACGCCTGAACCGATTTCAAAAATTTAAAAACCAATCGATGTATTTCGTTGTGGGTTATCTTTTCTCAGTTTCGTGCCACGATCGGCTGAGCCATTTTTTTGTAAATAGCAGTAAAGTGAAAACATTTTCGACCACGCCTTAGCTCTCAATTCTGAATCGATTTAAAAAAAACAAAAACTTTTCGAATGATTTTGGTTGTCTAGATATTAACTGTAGAAAAAAATTTTTTTGCTGATTTTTATGCTTTTTTGGCAATAGACATCATTGTCTTATAAAACAAACTAAAATGTTACGGCCCTACGACAAATAGTTTAATATTGAAAATTCATCAAAGTTTGAGAAAATATTATAGTCAATTACTATACAATTTTCATTATAATTCAATAGTTTTTAAAATTCGTGCCTTGAAAATAGTATAGTAAGTGGTGCATTACATTTTCCGTGTTTTTGTTTTTTCTTCAAATTATTTGTATGCACTGAAGATGGGTCAAATCAGAACCCGAAACGTTTGACAATAAAACATTTAACTTCAATAAAATAGTTTCAATTAATGGGTGGACGCCCAAGAGCAACTTTATTATAATATTTCACAATCTGAAAAAACCTCTCAATTTATATATATATATATATATATATATATATATATATATATATATTCATATTCGTAAATGTTTGCAAATAATTTTGCGCATATTATATACACTCACAATCAGTCATATTCTGTAGCTACATGTGAATGTTTCTGGACATTAAACAGACGCATCTTGTTTATATTTGCTTGTATCAGCAAATTATGTTATTAATTATGTTGCTAATGCTCGATTGTTTCATTATTTGTTATATAAACGAGTTCATTGTTTTAATAATAAAGACGAATTAATTTCAAATATTCACATATAAAATGCAGCGTGTGTTTATAATAATCGAATATCAATGTGGTATCTGAGAACAACACCATTCATTGTCACAAGAATTTTATGTCTACATGTGATTGTTCGGCTCATTTAGAGTAAGTTCAAGAAATTGACTGCAATTAATGCACACCTTTGATTATTTCTCGTAGGGTGAGTTATAGTATCCGAAAAAATCGAAGGTTTGTGAACATTTGGCACTCCTTACAAAAAAATTATGTATGTGTGTGTATGTATGCTGATACAAATTTTGTATGTATGTGTATGTGCGGATATGCAAATTTTCTTTGACAATTTTAGGAACGTGGAAACCTATTGATGGAGACGTGTTGATTATTTTTTGGCAAAGGCAGGTCAAACCGTTTTAAATATACGGGACAAGAAGTGCCAAAAATGGCAATTCAGTTTTTGAGAGAACGAACCGTTTGACGAATTTGACTGATTCAAAAGTATTTTATTTGTATTAACGAAATGAAAAACTAATCAAGTTTTTAAATACGCAGGGTCAGCGGTTTCCGAAAATCAATAAAAAAAGTAAGAACTATCTGTGCCTCTAAAAATGAGTTTTTAATTTAAATACCTTTATTAACTTCCCGTATGGTAAGTTATTGTAATCGCAAAAACACAAAAAAGAAAATTTTTGAACATCTCTGCATTTCAAAGGTTTCGGAATATTTTGACATATCTTGGAAAAAATGGATATGTGTGTGTGTTTGGATACACATTTTCGATTCTGTTGATAAGGATAGACAAAATGAAGTACCGTTTAAATTTTTGCAAAGGCAGGTTTGGCGGTTTCAGAGATCGAATGAAAAAATTAAAAATAAATGCCATTTGGCGGTCAAAAATGATCATTAGACAAATGCACATTATATTATCAGATATTTTATAGAGATTTTTATACCAAGTATGAATTTTGTTTTCATTTCTATGCCTACCATACCAATGTTTATCCGTTTGACTGCGATGTGGCGCTTACGCGCTTCGATATTTCTTCTGTAAAGCAGCTACGCAGCACGATTGCTATATAAAAATGTTCAAAATTTTCAGAACAATTCAAAGTATAAAAAAATTCTAAACTTAAAAAAAGAAATTTATTTTTCAAAAATGACAATCTTTTTAAAAATTTAAAAACTCATTTTTTTCAAAGTTTTTAATTTTTGGTACGGGAATTTCCAGCAATTTGCCGGGACGGGATAAAATATTCTTCAGACCCAGATATTTTTTATTAACTCAAGATTTATACTAATATTTAACCTTAAAATGTAGTGACATGAAACACAGATAAATGAACAATATGCTTCACGATTTCGGTGACGTACGCACGTATAAAGTCACGCATACAAAAAAGCCTCGCACAAATACGGCGCACGTATAAAGTCACGCATACCGATAAGCCTCGCACAAATACGACCAATCACAATCGAACCCGTATAGAGATTTAATCGAATGCGAATGACGAATCATTGGCACTCGACCTTGCCGTAACTCATTTCCGTTGCATTTGTACTGATTTACACCCATGTCGCGCTTAAAGAAGTTTTACTTCAAATATGGCTAAAAGACATACTAACTTAATTTAAACACTTATTCTTCCATTAACACAAATTATTATCTACAAGGGAATGTCCTTAGTGAAGGAGACCTCTAAATGACATACTTAATGGATCACATACACTCATAGAAAATTGTATTTCCGATTGTCTATAATAAATGAATAATAAAAAAATCAAATAAACAAGTTAAGATCAATTCTTAACATTAGAAACATATATTAAAATAAATAACTAAAAAGTATTATTATATTAGTTAATATAAAAACCATTTAATTCCATAATATTTATTAGTTTTTAATATATGTGATTATTTAACATTTTCACTATGACTATGTATTTAAAAATAAATTCCTAATTTATAACAATTTTCTTACAGTTAGTAAAATTAGCTAGGCACATATTTCGTTGTTGTTGAATTTTACACTATACTGAAATTTTGATAGTCATATTTGTTTTGTACATACTTAATGAAAAAAAGTATATTTGATAATGATTTTGTTACAGCTTCACCTCCACGGGTCATAGTATCAAGTACAATTGTCTGAAAGTGAAAGAGGTCATAATTATAAAAATTAATGATGTAGTTATTTTTATATTTTATAATACGAATATTTGTTAAAATTTTTGAGATACTTTAAAATATTAAATTAAAAAAACACATTTTAATTTTCGACGTATTTCCAACATTTAAAGATTAAGCTAAATTATCATTTGGATGTATAAAGTAGATTGAAAAATAAAATTCACCTTTAAAAAAATTCGGTATGAGCAGTGGAGACTGGGGACGGTAGTGCCAGGATACGGTAGTGACAGTTGTCATAACAGCTAAACTATTACGAAGTATGATTGTTCGAGCAAATTTACATGGTTTTAGTCAACGCCTTAAGCTTACATTAACATAATCTGTAGACCGCATTGCTTTTAAAAAGTCAAAAAAAAAAATCATGTACCAATTCTTTTAATCACAACTGTTAATTGTGTACAGATAGATGACATTGTTTGTTATTTTGCTGTAAGTTGAACATTAGCAGTTATTTACCAGCAATTAATTTGTGTTTAGATAATTTAGCTCAGTCAAAATGGAGATTTGTTTTCAAAAGAGTGCGTTTTTGGGCTGCCGTTGTGACATGCATTTTTTGTCCTTTTTGGGTGAGGATAAACAGATATAAAAAATCTAACTTCACTAAGATAAAATCCTAAACTAGTGGGGTGTATGGCATAGTGCCTTAAGGCAAATTGCTGGAACTTCCCGTACCGTAACGAAATGTTCGAGGAATACTGAATGTTTTCAAATAGATTATTATAAATATTGTAACATTGTATAGTATTTATAAGAATTATATAAACTCAATTGCAAAGTTAAAATTATTTGTTTAAAGTATATTAGAACTTTAGTTAGAATTAAAAACAAAATCTGAATTATTTTCGATACAAAAAAAAAATTTTTTTTTGAAAATCAATTATTTTGTTAAAACAAGCTGAAAGTTCTTTGAATCATTTTAATTGGACGCTTAGTTCTTTCACAAACTTCCATTTTTTGCACATTTAGCTCTGTATCTTTGAAATGGCTGGTCCTGCCATTGCCAAAAACTAATAATCACTTCTCCCAATCATTACTAATTGAATATTTTTTAGATCATTCAAATCGGATGCTCCGTTCACTCAAAAACTCGATTTATATATTTTCTGCACTCTTTGCTCCGTATCTCCGTCACGGCTGGACCTGCCTTTGCCAAAAACTAATCAGCACATCTCCCTATCAATAGGAATCGATAGGAATGTTTTTTGAACATTCAAATCGGTTGATCCGTGCGCACGAAAACGTGGACGAAAAATTGTATCCATACATACATACACACACACACATCAATTTTTCTGAGGTATGCCAAAATGTTCCGAAACCTTCAAAATTTCGATTTTCGGCCCATTACAATAACTTACCCTACTGGAAGTTAAAAAGAAAGAAAAAGGAAAATTTGAAATAGGGAAAAAAAAGATTTCACAATGAATGCTTGTAAACTTTGTTTAAAAAATTATTTTTTGTTATATATTGTTATGTTTTATTAATAAGCTTTGTTTAAATATTTATGTTGTGTTTTGTCACATATTATAATTATTAACGACAATAAAAGTCGTTAAGAACCATTTTGGTGCTTAAAACTATTGTTTAACTTCCCGTAGGGCAAGTTATAGTAATCGCAAAAAAATCGAAAATGAAAATTTTTATATATCTTTACGTTTCAAAGGTTTTTTGAATATTTTGGCATACCTTAGAAAAAATGGAATAATGTGTGTGTGTGTGTATGTATGTGTGTGTGCGTGTGTGTATGTGTGTGCGGATACAAATTTTCGTCGACGATTTCGGGAACATCGATCAACCGATTTGAATAATTCAGAAATCATTCGATTCGTATTGATAAGGAGACATGGTCTCAAAATGCAGGTATAGCCGTTCCGAAGATACGGGGCAAAAAGTGCCAAAAATAGTAACTCAGTTTTTAAGAGAACGGACATATGCACATCAAATTATCAGATATTTTATAGAGATTTTAACAATAAGTATAAATTTTGTTTACATTCCTATGGGTTCCGTACCAATGTTTATCCGTTAGATAAACAGTACGATTGCTTTGAAAAAAAATTCAAAATTTCCAAAATATGTCAATATAAAGAAAACATTTTTTTCAAAAAAAATTTTATTCAAAAAAAAGTTATTTTTTGTCGAATTTGTAGTTTCTCAAAAATCTAATTTTTTTGAAGTTAATTTTTTTCAAAAATGATATTCTTGATAATGATATTATTTATAAAAAAATGATTAATGATATAGTTTTTAAAAAATAATAATTTTTGTACGGGAAGTTCCTGCAATTTGCCTTAAGGCACGATGCCATGCGTCCTACTAGTTTTAACCTATTTCTATA